AATAAAGAATTGAAGTATTTGATTGTAAATATTTTAACAGCAGCTAGAATTGTGTTTGCTAAGAATTGGAAAAATGATAAAATACTTATGCAGAAGGAAGTTATTAAGAAAATTATGGACTGTGCTGAAATGAATAAATTGAAATTTGAAATTAGAGAACAAGAAGATAAACAATTTTATATGATATGGGATTTGTTTTATCAATGGTTGGACAAAAAGACATGGTAATGTAATAGATTTGATGATTTTGTAATAGGTTTAATAGATAGATATAAAATATAATATTGACATATATAACCATTGGATGAAAGTATAACATAAATTTTAAAATAAAATTCGAAATATCTCATATAAAATGATAGAATAAATAGTTTGGTCATGGATGATTAATAATTGATAAATATATAAGCATATGTTAGCTTGATAATGTGGAAATTTATATAAATTGAGAAATGATTACAAAAGGATAGCGCAAAAGATTTGTAACCAACTGACACACTGTATGTATATAAGATGGAAGATGGTTTTATGTTTTGTTTGTTTATGTTTGTCTTAAAAAATAAAAACTTTTTCATAAAAAAATTCTTCTATTACTGAGTCTGTTATTTTCATGCTTAGCAACTGGTTCATGTTGCTATGTGTCAGGGTCATATGATCACTTTTGTGACTTTCTGACAAGCAAAGTTAATGGAGAAGCCAGATTTATTTAACAACTGGGCTACTAACTTATGAACTGCAGTAATTCACAAAACAACTGAGGCAAGAAAGGTCATAAAATGGGGCAAAACTCACTTAACAAATGTCTCACTTAACAACATAAATTTTGGGCTCAATTGTAGTCCTATGTTGATGGCTACCTACACAGAATTCTCAATCCTAGTCAGCTCTATAATTTCAAAAACACTTATTGTGCACCTTGATGCTGCCAATAGAAAAATATTATTGGCTAAATTGACAAACTGTTCATCATTTTGTAACATTCTGAAACAGTGAAGAAATTACCTTTGGGGAAAACCTCCCTCCATTCTAGAGGTCCCCAAGTCTGATTTCCTTATGGGCTCTACAGTCTGCCAAAAAGCCCCCTTCCAATGATCTCTATATTTATTTGCATTTTTGGCTGTTGTTCAGTCACTAAGCTGGGTCTGATGTTTTGCAATTCCATAGATTATGGCACACCAGGCTCCCCTGTTTTTTTATTGTCTTCTGAAGTTTGCCCAAATTTTTGTTCATTTTGTCAATGACGATATCTAACCATCTTATACTCTTCCATCCGTTTCTCCTTTTGCCTTCAACAGTTTCCAGCTTCAGAGTCTTTTCCAATGAGTCCTCTCTTCTCATCTTTATTTGCATATGAATAGCAATGGTTCCAAAGAGAATCAAAATTAGCAAGATGGTGACTAGAGTAGATGTGCTGATAACATGTTCAGAGGAAGCAGAAGACAATCACTTCTCTGTCATTTTACCAATGTTGACATCGACCCCCTCTAACCCAAAATCTTATTTAATCACATTGTAAGTTATCAGATTCTTCTTATTTCTGTTGAGAAACAGGGTGAGCATTTCCTAATGATACCACAACTTTCTAGGTTATGCTTCTTTTGCAGAACTTGGGCCATGCTACGGAAATTTAATCCAACATATTTGGAGGGTACCAGCTTTTTGGGGGTGGGGTCTGATTTAAAATCTTTGATGTAACAGCAAGTCACATACCACAACCTGAATAAGCAGTGGCCCTTTTACAGCAATATCTGGATTTTGACTCAATTTAATGAAACAGTATTACTTGTTTGTTCTCAGCATTGAATGTCTAGTGAGACAAAGAAACCAATTTAGTATCTAATGAGGAAGTTGGTCACCTTGAATACATTTCTGAGAAAACACTCTTGTATGAAAAACAAAGAAACAGAGCAGCTGCCAAATCAAATATTCAATTTCCAATGGCTACGTAGACATTGGAAGTTGATGACCTCTGACGTACCTTCATAGAACATATAAAAATATGGTACTCTCCAGTGGTGTATTTAGAGACAAAATGGCCTCAGTCACAGCATTCCTGTTGTTTTGCACTCTTTTTCAATTGCTCATTGCAACAGGTAAGGGAAATACATCAAATATTTTTGATGTATTCATTTCATCAGGGACAGTATATCACTAAACTTTGCTATGAAAGACTAATTTTCAGAGATGATTTAGAAAATTTATATGCTGTTTGGATCAGTAGCATGGCTTGTTTCCTGATTCCAAATCAAGGGAATTAATGAATGCTTAGCAGGGAATTTCTTCAGTTCTGATCTTGTCTTCATTTATGATTTCAGAGACTCCTCCCTACGTCTTCCCATTTATTTATGGTGGAAAATACCCATTATTCTTGCACCAAAGTTGATAGCCAGAACCGTCCATGTTGTGCCACAACTGCAAACTATGATACATCTTTTCAATGGAAGTATTGTGCCACTAAAGGTTTGACAAAAGTTACATTTATGAGATATGAGTTTTACTGATTTCAGGAGATATAACAACTGTTATACCTTGAAACAGTCAACTGATTCCATGTTTAGTGTGTTTGAGCATAATCTCATATAGAATTGAAACAAGCATTGAGGGTATCTATATGCACAAGGACTATATAATATTTAGTGAGAAAAAATTGGGAACCTTCACTGGGTAGACTTCAAACTCCTTTGGGAAATTCTGGGAATTGAAGTCCACACATTTTAAGGTTACTAAAATGAAGAAACTGCTTACAAGCACCAAGGGTTCTAATATCACTATAACTTTTTAATTTGTATGGCAATTAAATAGAATGTAGCTTTAGAAAGTGCCCAATGTCAATAAAATGGCCTCTGCAGCTGTGAGGCAGGTGGCCTTATGTAGCTTTCTAGCCACATCTTCCCTCGGTTGGGCACACCTTTCAGCTTCAGGGGGAAGGGAAATGTAAGTGGACCTGGGCATGGTGAGGCATGGAAGGCCCAGACCTCTTTAGAGTGGCATGGGAAGGGATGGAGGAGGCCCACACACACACTGGTGGGCCAAGTTTATTTAGCCTAACACAGCCTTTTCATTTTCTCGTGGTTTCCCACCCAAAAATAAAGTACTCCTGATCCTACTTAGCTTGCAGACAAGGTTGGCCACATAATTGCCACTGCTTAAATGAATAGGTCAAGGAAATTAAATAGCAACTGTTAAAAGTGTTAGCTCATTAGGGAATCATCAGAAGATATAAAAATGAACTTTTTCCCATTGTGTGTGCATAAATGTGTATTCTAATGCTTTAATTTTTTTAATTTTTCCAAAATGGTTATCCAGGTAGTCCTTGACTTCCAACAGTTGGTTTATGAAAACTCAAACTTACAATGGCACTAAAAAAAAGTGAATTATGACCATTTTGGCCATTATATCATCATTATGCTCACATGATCCACATTAACATGCTTGATAACTGACTCACATTTATGATGGTTGAAGTGCCCCGATGTCATAGGATCTTCTGTTAAAACCTTACTCATAACTGGCCAAATTAAGACTTACTGTTTGACTGATGGGTACCTGAGTATCTAAAAGGATTTAAAGATCTTCCAGAACTTATTGCTGGTCCTACTGCTTACAAGCAACAAGGGTTCTAATTTCAGTATAACTTTTTAATTCATATGGCAATTAAATAGAATGTAGCTTTAGAAAGTGCCCAATGTCAATAAAAATGGCCTCTGCAGCCTTGAGGCTAATGGCCTAATGTTGCTTTCTAACCGCATCTCCTCTCGGTTGGGCACACCTTTCAGCTTCAGGGGAAAGGGAAAGGTACGTGGACCTGGGCATGGGGAAGCAGGGCGGGACAATCTTCTCTCAAGTGGCATGGGAAGGGATGGAAGCCCCCACACACTGGTGGGTCAAGTCATCCAAGGCATTCAAGTGACAGCAAGTTTCCACCTGCCACTGTCCAAGGCCCCTTAGTCCACACTAGCATTGGTGTCATTCAGGAAGCAATGACAAGGAATCATAGGGAGATGAAGGAAATAATGCATGAATCAGATGTGGGACTAGGAAACTCCCAGCAAATGACAATGAAGAATGAACAAAAAATTCAGAAAGTAGAAGAGAAACCAGAAGGAGTATAGGGAAGAATAGAGGAGATAAATCAACAAATGATACAAGCAGATAAAGAGATGAAAGAGATAATAAAAATTCCTGAAATAGAGCAGGTAGATTATCTCGGAAAAGATCAAAGGGTAGAAGAGGGCAAAGATCAGGATCTCCTAGAAGTGATGACAGAGTTACTGATGGGTGTTTTAGAGATTAGACAGCAAGCGGCAAATGTGGAGGAAGAGGAAATACTTAGATTAAACATGAGTGATGTAAGGATAAAAGATCCAAAGAGAGGAGCATGGGAGACCTATCAAAAAGAATCAACAAGGCTTGAAATAATAAAAAGAGCAAGAGATGACAGATAGAGATACAATACTTTTTAATATCGGATCTGTTTTATTAAAGATTAGAAAATAGAAGTAGAAATTAGAAAACGGGAAAAGATTATTATGCCTACTGTCACATAATACAATTTTCTATATTTACTATGTATACTTAAATGTTAGAAGCTGGAAGATTACTCAAAAAGACAACAAGTGTTGAAATACTGAAACGGGTAAAGGGATGGATAGATATAGAATACATTTAAATGTGGAATTCATTTTATTAAAAATTAGAAAAAGGAGTTAGTAATTGAAAATTGGGGAAATATTATTATGCGTATTGTCACGTAATATAATTTACTACAATTACTAAGTATACGTAAATGTTAGAAGTTGGAAATAATTTGGATTGACTCATTTCACCTGGGACAGTGTATTTGCTTTAGAAGACCAATTTTCAAAGATGACAAATTTAGAAAATTTAAAATGTTTTGGGATCAGTTACACGGCTTGTTTCCTGATGTCAAATTTAGGGAATGAATGAATGCTTAGCAGGAGTTTCTTCAGTTCCGATTTTGTCTTCTTTTATGATTTCAGACACTCCTTCCTGTGTCTTTCCATTTATTTACCATGGGAAATCCTATTATTCTTGCACCAAAGTTGATAGCCTGAACGGTCCATGGTGTGCCACAACTGCAAACTATGATAAATCTTCTCAATGGAAGTATTGTGCCACTAAAGGTTTGACAAAGTTACATTTATGAGATAAGAACTTTACTGATTTGAGGAGATATAACAATCGTCTTGAAACAGTCAACTGATTCCCAGTTTAGTGTGTCTGAACGTAATCTCATATAGAATTGAAACAAGCATTGAGGGTATATATCTGCACAAGGACTATATAATATTAAGTGAGGAAAAATGTTTCTCCACCATGGGGACTTTCAATGTGTGGATTTCAAACCCCTCTGGGATATTCTGGGAATTGAAGTTCACACATCTTAATGTTACTGAAATGAAGAACCTGGGTTTCAAACATAAATGGCATCCTTTTCTGTGGCCCCAGGAAACTACTCCAACTATAAAAGATAGTTTAGAGATTTTGCTCTTTTGAGTAAAAAAATACACAAAATCTGAAGTGGAGTCTAAAATCTCAAGTAAATCTAAAGAAGCTTTGTATGTATTTTTTCTATTTTGCATCCTCATTCTCCATGCTTTTGCCCTGGATAGCCCCAAAATTGTTAAATTAATCTTTAGCTCCTAAAAGCTTACTCATAACAGGCCAAATTAAGACTTACTGATTGACTGATGTGTCCCCGAGTATCTAAAAGGATTTAAAGCTGATGGGTCCCCAATATCTAAAAGGATTTAAAGCTCTTCCATACCTTATGGCCAGTCCTACAGCTTTAGAAAGTGTCCAATGTCAATAAAAATGGCCTCTGCAGCCTTGAGACAGATGGCCTTATGTAGCTTTCTAGCCCCATCTCCTCTCGGTTGGGCACACCTTTCAGCTTCATGGGGAAGGGAAAGGTAGGTGGACTTGGGCATGGTGAGGCAGGGAGGGTCCTGACCTCTCTAGAGTTGCATAGCGGGGGATGGAGGAGGCCCCCACACAGTGGTGGGCCAAGTCATCAAAGTCATTCAACTGACAGCAAGTTTCTTCCTGCCAGTGGGTCGTACTCTCCAAGTAGCCTTAGTCCATAGTAGTATTGGTGGGGAATTGCAGTTGTCCTTCAGTCATAAATATATGTGCGTGCCTCTAAGCAACCCAATTTTGATCAAGTGACCCCAGGGCTGCAATGATTGGAACTGTGCGCAATGACTGTAAATGTTTTTGTTGATTGCCATTGTCCTTTCAGTCAGTAAATGAATGGTTGTAAGTTGAAAATCCACAAATCCCAAGTTCAAATTTCATCTCACCCTGAACAGCCATTTGAATTATTCAAATGGATGACATTTGCATAGTTAAGCACTTTCCATCTCAGTTTACAAGGAGGTAGTTCTACAATGAGGTACTGTCCCCTCCATTCATTGTCATCTCAAATTCACAAAGAAAAGGGAATGTCATTATTTTGAAAAAAAAAAAAAAGCAAATACTACAGTTTTGTTGAGAAATTGACCAAGATAGGGAAGTTGAATTTATGCAGATCATGCAATCACTCTGAACAAATACACCCTTTTTTATACACCTGCAGTTGACATTTTTCCCCCGCACAGACCTTAAATGGCGGCGCCCAACTAGGAAGGTGAGGCTCTCACTCCTGGAGCATTATCTCCCTATAAAGCCACCACCTGCACCAGAAATCACTTTTAAAGTTGCCGCCTGCACCAGTAACCGTGAGTAAACCAGAGCCCAAAAAACAAGCCCAAAAATGCTAGATTCTGAAGCTGTGGAGCCCTAATAATGCTGGCAGAGCTCCTGCTAACTGATCCGGAGCCCTCCTCTCCTTCCCCAGAGAAGTGAAGCTCTTTCCATTGAGCCCTATTAACCACATTGCTGGAGCTCTTGAACTGGATCACTTGGAGCCACCGGAGTGCAAACAACATACCTTCATTTAAATCCCTCACACAGCTGATAGAAGTATCTTCCACGCCAGACAACGTGTTTCCATTAATATCCCTCACACAGTTTCCCCGGAGCCACATCAGACAGCTGGCAGGGAGAAACAAGGAGGGAGGAGAAAGTCCTGAGGCTCTTAGGAGCCAAAAGTCACCCTGGATGGGTGGTAAAGGCAGAGGAATGCTTCAGTGGTCGCGAGGAGAGGAGAGTCTCCTTGACTGACCCGAAGAAAACCCCTCCATCCGAACTAAAAAGAGAACTGCCAGCATGGCTAAATCGAAGCCAGGAAGGCAGCTGAGACAGAAGTGAAAAAGAAAGGAAAGATCTTGTAACAGCGTGCTTAGTCTTGGTAAGAATCACTCCAATTTCTGCAGTGGAATTTTCCTTGGAAAGTGGGACTCAAAGGAGGCAAATAGCTGCGATTAACGATCTGGAGTGACTGTCAGATTCAGTTAAAAAAAAATTGCCACTAGAAGTAACTTTAAAAGTAAAGGACAGATTGGATTGGTTAACTCAAATTTCTGCACTGTATTTTTACTACTACTCAACTTGAAGAACTTTAGGAAACTATTGGAAAACAATCTTATTCAGAGACATATTGATTGTAGTTAAAGTGTTTTAATTCAGCGAGTTTTACTCTCTTTCAAAAATCCAGCGTGCTTTGAACATCTTGTTACAGCCTATTGTTTACAGAGTAATAGCAGCAGCAATCAGAGCAATAAATTCCTCCCACCCAGTAAATCAACAGCTGCTAGTAAGACAATTAACCCTTTCCTTGCAGACTCTCAATACTACCTCATTACTTTAATCAAACACTCATTAATTCGTTACCTCAAAACTTACAACTTTTCTACCTCATCACCTATATCAATGATTAGATAATCAATTTCTATAAAATATTTCATTAATGGTTTAATTGATTTATTGTTTTAATTGATTAGTGTGATTAGAGTGTTTAGTGCAAATAGTGTGATTACTGATCAGTTTAAAAGATCAAGATTCATGTAATTTAATTGATTAGTAAAATCAGTGATTTAGTGAATTTAATTGAACAGTGTGATTAATTATTAGTGTAATTAATTGATTAGGCTGATTGTTGCTTAGGAAAATTATTTGACTAGAGAGATTACTGCAAGTGATTGATTGGTGTGATATTGGCTATATTGATTACCCAAAATTGTTCCATTAATTGATTTAATCAATGTACCATCTTAACAAACCTACCATGCCAAGAAAAAAATCCAATGCCAAACCACAACCTAAAGAGAAAGTAATCCCCACCAATGAACCACAAGACTCCTGCACATGCCTTAAATGCAACAAAACTCTAAAGGATAATGAAAACTCCATCAAATGTTCTCTATGTAACAAATACACTCATCATGACTGCTTGGGATTACTCGAGCAAATGATTCAATACCTAGAATCATCCAATGAGTTTCCATATCTCTGCAAATCATGCAGACCCAAAATGGATCTGTTGGAAAGAGTTGATACCATTGAAACACGAACAACATCTCTTGACACCATAGTAGCATCCCTGGAAGCCTTAAAAGAAAGATTATCCAACCTTGAAAAAAAAGACAAAACGCAAAAACCTGAACATCCAATAGCTACAAACCACATCTCTACCCAACAACCACAACCCAATCCACAACCCAATCCACAACCCAATCCACAAAAAAACATAAGCCAGACAAATAATGATATCCCAATCCTCATCAGAGAAGCTGTTGAGCATGAACGGAAACGTCCAAACGCCATCTTATTTGGTCTAGAGGACATCAATGATAATGATGACATCACAACTGTCCGAAACATCATCAGTGATTATCAAGCATCAACCATCTCCGCTGATGAAATACTTGACATTTCCCGCATTGGCCGAGAGCTCAAAAACAGAGACGGCTCTGTGGCCCCACGCTTGTGCAGGGTCATTTGCAAAAATGAATCAAGCAAATGTAAATTTGTTTTCACTATGAATTCACTCACCAAAACCAACCATAAGAACCTCCGTTGTCACCCTGACCTAACCATACAGCAATGTGCCCGCTCCCGTGTACTCCGCACTGAACCCAAAAAACATCTAGCCAATGGAGAGAAGGACCTGTACATTGACTACTATGCTGACTGTATCAAAAGTAAGTCACACAACCCGCAACTCAGCTTTAACCTTCAACCACAACCCTACCTCAACCAATCTACCATCACCCAAGACTAGGCACGCACGGCCCCAACTACCTCAATTCCAACTACTGCTGGCCTTAAATGCAAGCTACTCAATGCAAGAAGCCTTGCAAATAAAATACCTGAATTTCTCCTCTTACTAAATATGGCTAAATTCAACATCATATTTGTCTGTGAAACATGGCTCAACGCATCTCTCCCTGACTCCATTACCACAGTAAGAAACTATCATGTTTACCGATCAGATCATGAAATTCGTAGAGGAGGTGGTGTTGCTATATTCTATAAAAAGTCCTTACATCTAAAAAACATCCAAGTTACCCAGGAGCTTGCTCTTCCTGAGACCATCATCTTTGATCTATCCTTAAATATCACATTTTGATTCTTACTCTGTTACAGAGCCCCTGATTATGACATCGAACATGTAAACAAGCTAAATACACTACTAACATGGGCAGCATCCTGCCCACATGCTTTTATCTTTCTTGGTGACTTCAATCTACCTCATATTGACTGGACCCTAAATGAATGTACAACTGAACCCATACACACAACCTTCTACAATGCTGTTACAAATCTGGGACTGGAACAACTAGTAACCAACAACACTAGAGTAAAGAACTGCCTCGATCTCATCTTCTGCAATAGTTTAAATTTAATTTACGGAATACAAACTAAAGAACTCTTTTCCAGCAGTGACCACAATATGATTGACTTTTGTCTCAACATACACCCAAACAAAAATCATCACAATTACGTAATCCCCAATTATAACGTCAAAAAAGGCAACTATGATCTTATAGACAACGATCTCTCATCCCCTGATTGGCAATCTCTATTCACTGGATGCAATACTGTTGAAGACCATTACAACATATTTTTACTTGAAGTCAAAAGAGTCATCAAACTATATGTACCAACAACAAGTCCCAAAACAAAAACAAAAAAACAGATTACCCATAACAATAAGGAAACTTCAATCCAAAAAGAGATC